CACACACACACACACACACACACACACACACACACACACACACTGCCCATTCATTGGCCACACAGTGCTGATTTCTGCCTCCTTCCTCCTTTTTCGATGGATCCACTTCCCTCTTTTGCCACTCACACCCTCATCTCCTCAGGATCGTAGCTAATGTTGTTCAGTAGTATCTCTGTCATGAGTCTTGCTTCTTCCAAATCCATTTTTCTCTGTGCAGTCTGAAGGCTCTTTCTGAAGAACATCATTTCTCTGTTTAAAACCCTTCTCTAGGTCCTCCCTCAACTCACAGAAAGTACATAGTCATGGGCCAGTGTAGGATGAGTTCTACCAGGCCTACTCTGGGACCCTCGCTGGCCTCACTGCTTCCTGTCTGCTACGTGCTTACCCCCTCCACCAAAAAAAAACCTTTTGCATCCAAGAATAAACCTCATGTAGTTCCCCTAAGTGTCCATCCTCCCTTTCACTGTCTCACACCCCTGCATGGGCTCTGACTGCCCTTCTCCCTTTAATCTGCCACCTAACAAAAGTTCCAGTTTTTGTACAGACAGCTGCCCTGTGCAGACATCACTGCCCTGTGACACCTCTCACTTCTGTACGTGCCACAGCTCTATCTAAACTCCTGTTCCTATCCCCCAATAAATTGTGGACACCTTGAGGTCTGAGACAGTGTTTCATCTGCCTCCTCAGCTCTAGAAACAAGCTTAACATATGGTACATAGTAACCATCACTTCTTCCCACCAGTTAGTTTCTGGAAGAAACAAGAATGGGTGAACTAATGGGCAGTTTGCCAGGAAGCAGGGGGATTCACAGCAGTTCATGAAAACCCTTGAGTGAAGGATAAGAGGGTCCAGAAGCCACTGTGAGATGAGGTAACACTACTAAAGAGTTGTAATATTAGGGACACGCAGGCTCTCACAATCACCCAACAATCACTATCCCATTTGAGCTATTGAGGGCTCACCCACCCATTCCCAAGTCCCTACCACACTTACACCTCTTCAAGACTCAAGGATCCTGCCCTCTAGTTTCAGCTGCCTGATATGTGTAGCCAGAGTACAGAAATGAGGGGCTGGAGGGCTGCTGCTACCCAGCCCTCCATGCCCCCCGCCCCATTGTCTAAATATGCTGGGCTAGGCAATGTCTGCACTTCCAAGCCATTCAACTCTCAAGAGCTGACTTCCCCCTTGGTGTCTAAGCAGAGTCTCCTATGTCCCACAGTATGCAGCTGAGCTCCTAGCAGTCGTCCGCCTCCCATTCATCCACCCCAGCTACCTGCTCAATGTGGTGGACAACGAGGAGTTAATCAAGTCATCAGAAGCATGTCGGGATTTGGTCAACGAAGCCAAACGCTACCATATGCTGCCCCATGCCCGCCAGGAGATGCAGACACCCCGAACCCGGCCGCGCCTTTCTGCAGGTATCAAGGAACATGCCCAAGCTTGCCCAAACTGCAGACGCCATAGGAATGGCTGGCTCCAAGTGGTTCCCCTAAAGGAGCCAGGCACAGATGCTGACAATGTCAGGGCATATCCCAAAGATGTCCATCCATGTCCATGCAGGTGTGGCCGAGGTTATCGTTTTGGTTGGGGGCCGGCAGATGGTGGGGATGACCCAGCGCTCACTGGTGGCCGTCACGTGCTGGAACCCACAAAACAACAAGTGGTACCCCCTGGCCTCGCTTCCTTTCTATGATCGCGAGTTCTTCAGTGTAGTGAGTGCTGGGGACAACATCTACCTCTCAGGTGAGGTCCTCCAGGGCTGGGTGGGGACTGGAATGGGCTTCCCAAAGAGACTTCTTCCCACACACAGGGCTAAAGAAGGCCAAGGCCCCCAAATTTCTACTTTGCATATAAAGTCTTCTTCTTCTGCCCCTGGGGCTTGGCATCCTGATCTCAAACCCTTCCTCAGTCCCTGCCTGCTCTTTGTACCCCCATACTGACCACAGGTGGTATGGAATCAGGGGTGACGCTGGCTGATGTCTGGTGCTACATGTCCTTGTTGGATAATTGGAACCTGGTCTCCAGAATGACAGTCCCTCGCTGTCGGCACAATAGCCTGGTCTATGATGGGAAGATTTATACCCTCGGGGGACTTGGTGTGGCGGGCAACGTGGACCACGTTGAGAGGTAAGGCAGCCCTAATCCCCTGGGTAGCATCTCTCACATTCACTGAATGCTAGTATCATATCACGACTCCCCACCAACCTGATACCAGTGACCTATAGACTAGACCATTCAAAAGTCATAATGCCAGGGTCATCAGATACAATAAAGGAGAAGGCTGTAAGAAGTGAGGTCATGAGTCACTGAGGGCATTCTTGTCAACACTCATTCATGTGTCGCACAAGATGGTGGCCCAAGATCCAGTCACAGACAGGCACAGAGAGAGTTTGGCTAGGATAACCTGAAAGCCATGGGGACACAGTGGCGCCAGCCTAAAGATTTACTGGAATTCAGGGGTAAAGCTGGAACCAATGGCCCAACTGTAAGCCATGCCCATAGCCATGGCGCCTTGTCCCTGCCAAGTAGAGACTACACATGTGGGGACACCCCTCCTCCCTCCATCACACATACTCCAGGAAATTAATAATAATAGTAATTCAGGGAAGAGACACCACCCACCAATTAAACAATGTAGGGATCCAGTCTGGCCAGCCCTCTAGAATTCTCCAGAAGAAAAAAATAAGCCAATTAGCTCAAGATTAGAGGATTAGCCTGCCCTTTGCTACAAGTCTCTGGCTACCTCCCTCTAGCATGGCCAGGGTATAGGTCAGTCCTAGGTCCAAGGGCCAGAGGCTGAAAGAGACACTGCGCTCTAAGATTTTTTTTAAACCTCTGAGCCAGGGAGACTGGTCCTGGGAGAGAATGGGTAGGATACCTAGGAGAGGATGCTGGGGCCTCCGGGAGAGCATTACCACTTAGCAGAGGAACAGGAAGGCCTTAGTCTTGGTTCTGGAGTAACTAGTGCCCCTGAGGGTGCCGCATTAGACTGACCTGGCCCCAGATTACAGCCTAGTTATGATAAGCAGAGTCCTTCTTCACCCTTTCCTGTACCCTGGCCCATACCACTAGCTACCACCAGAAAGCACTTTCTCATGTGCCATCCTTTCTGCCTGTGAAGCCACACATACCCTTCAGTTTGAATTTTTTTCCCCTGGGTGGCTAATTGGACACTTGACAAATGTTCCAGCAAGGATGGTTTCAGAGTGAGACAGACTCTGAATGTTCACTGTGGGCTTTTAACTCCCCCAAGTGGAGTTCAGAGATGGCTTGGTAACATTTAATTGTCATATTGATTTGAAGATAATGGGAAGTCCCCAGGTGAATATGAGCATATTAATACTACAACTGGACCTGGACCAGCCCTGATGCTAAAGGTCTTTGGTGTGAACTGATGCATGGCCAGGCATGCCCCTAAGCTCCCCAGAGGCACCAGCTTTCAGTCATTTGTCAGTCAGTAATAAACACACAAGAAAGGAGGCATTTTCCATGTAGGAGTCCCCTGAGCTGCGTGTCATCCTACTTTGCTTCTGTCAGCTATTTTTAATCTCCTAAGATGCTGATTACTCATTTTGCAAAGTTATACTTGTTGATAAATATGGGGATTTGTTCAGGGATCAAATGAACTGACGAAGAGGTAGAGACAAAGCTCCACTTCCCTTGATTTGCCACACCACACCCCCCACTCCCACCTTCCCTAGGGAGCTCAGCCTTCCAGCCAGCAGGGAAATAAATGTCAGCTCTGGGCATCTGTGAGCAAGACCACCCCTGGAGGCCCACTGGATAAAAGAGCAGCCAGGGATCACAGGGAGTCCTGAGGGACCTTGAATTCCCTCTCTGTCTATGAAGATCTGTCATCTGTCCTTGTAGGACAGGACAAAGACTTGAAGACCCCTAGGTGGTACCCATGCAAGGGAGTGGAGGGGGCAGGGAAAAGACACTGCTACCCAAGAAGCAGGCCCCTTTAGGTAAGTCAGTCTCTGTGCCACATGGTGGCAGTGATGAGAATTCGGGGTGACAAGAAGGTCAGTGTAATGGGAACAGACACAAGGGCGCTTTGTTCCCCAGGAAGCACTAATGGTACAAATTGCTATTATATTGATAATGAATGAAATATATGGTACATTATAATTATATTACATTACTGTATTACTGGAATAGAGCAAGATTACATAATTATAGATTAAACAGCAGCACCATAGACAAACCTGTATTATATCATTATATAAATAACTGGGTCTAATATTTTATAGCAATATATTTCAGGAGCTGTGGTTACTGAATAAATGATAGTGGAACGCCTCACTCGGCAGGGTCATTTGCATGTCATTAGCATATCCTTCTCAAGCAGGAAGCTGACAGATTGAGCTGATGGGAGGGCTCATGGCTTGGCAATCAGCCACCTGGAATAACAAGCTCTCAGGAAATTTGTGTTTGGTGGAGTGTGCCATTATGTCGAAAGACTGAGGACTAACAGCCACGTAATCTTCCTCATCTCCCAGCTTTTTCTGCAGGAGTTCTTTGGCTCTCTGCCATATTGGCTTTCAAAACAGATATCTGAACTTCTGACACTGCCCAAAGAGACACTTACTCCATTGCATATTAGCCACATAGCATCCATCCACAGCTGAACAGCATAGACCTTGCTGCCCTCTAAGAGACTCCAGCTCCTTCTCAAATCCAAGTTCAGAACTGAATGTCACATGGCTGTCCCTTCCCCACACACTTGAGGACCAGAGGCACTCCACATAAGACTGTCTTCCCAAGGTGCCAAACTCTGACTTCCGTCCAAAGGAGGCTCACACAGGAAACATGGAAGCAATGGGATGCTCATGACTATGTGCTGGACAAAACCCTAACTCTAGTGGAAACCAACTCAGACCCATGCTTTGGATTCAGGCACACATGGAATAGTGAACAGCGTAGGTGCCACAGATGCGCCCTGCTAGTAGGTCCACAGTAAGTGTAGGGGCAGCTGAGTCGGGCAAGAGCATTGATAGTAGCCAGCCCCTAGGAACACAGAACAGAGATGCTAATTGGGATGATGATGTTGTCCTCCAAAAGAAAAACCTCAAGGATTGCAACCCCTGGGCCAGCCTGCTTAATCCCCATTCCATCCTTTCAGGTAGCTGCTTCCTGTCCCCTTTACCTCAACTTGTCTGAAGCTCAGATTTCATTGCCTCCCCATCCTCCTTTGCTTGCTACTTGGTCCTGCATTCTATGTATAGCACATCTGTTCAGCCTGATTCTTTTGCCTTCTCCACTCTGCCCCTGGGGTAGCATGGAAAATCCTAGCATCCTACAGGCTGGCTCTACCATACAATGGAGACTTTAGCCTCCAACCAGCCCTAGATACTGCAAGGCACTCTGTCATTTGCCTAGTCAGCCATTTCCCTCACTCTCAAGAGCAAGTGGTCTTCCTCCTCCCTCCTCAAAGCTCACACAAGGCTCCCCCCACAACTTTTGTCAACACTGCTTCCTGCTTACCAGAGAAAAAGGGGGACATGGATCAAGAACTCATAACAGAACTAGGGATGTTGTTCAGTTGGTACAGTATTTGCTTAGCATGCAGGAAACGCTGAGTTTAATCCCCAGCACTCCACAAACTGCGAACAGCGGCACACATTTGTAATCCTAGCACTTGGACGATAGAGGCAGGGGACTCAGAGATTCAAGATCTATGTAGAGTTCCAGGCCAGCCTAAGGTACATAAGACCCTGTCTCAAACAACAATAACAAATGCTCGTGTCCTTCCACTAACTCAGATAAATGTGCCTGCACTGTGTCACCCTTGCCTTCTACTTCCTCTCTCCTGCCCATGTGTACCCCATTCCCCCTTTTGTTCTGGATTTAATTAGCACTTCTATATCTACCAGAAACCTTACATCACCTAGGGATCTTCAAGTGCCTGTCCTACAAAGACAGATGACAGATCTTCATGGGCTGAAGAAGGGCTCAGGGCCCCTCAAAGCTCCCTGTGATCCTCAGCTACTCCCTCCATCCTTCCTTCCTTCCTTCCTTCCTTTCTTTCTTCCTTCCTTCCTTCCTTCCATCTGTCCATCCATCCTTCCTTTCTCCTTTCCTTTCTTTCCTGATGGGATCTACATTGCCCAGGCTGGTCTTGAACTCCTGGGTTAACATCTGAGTGCTAAGACTCAGTTGTGCTCCAGTCTTTCTTTCTTATTCAGCTGCCATTGGCATCCCCAGAGGATTATCCCAGGACCCCCATAGATGCCCACATCTTCAGGTGTTCAAGTCCCTTATATAAAATGGCAGAGTATTCACATACAAATACCTGGCACACATCCTGCGGTATACTCGAAATACTTTAAAATCATCCCAGTTATTACTTGCAATGCCTAATGTAAGTACCATGTAAATATCATTATACTGTATTGTTTGGGAAATGAGAAAATCTGGGAACTGAACCTTTGATTTTTGGTTGTTAGCCTTAGCCTTTAACAGCTGTGCAGTCACTCCAGCCCAATAATGAGAAAATCTGTACTTGTTCATTTTTTCTACTGTTTTCTATCCGCAACTGATTAACTCTATGGATGTGGAATGCACAGGTTTGGAGCCCCTCTGTTTAGTTAACTTTTCTTTATCCAGTTGGGCTCCTTCCTATTCACATGAAAATGTAACTCACACACACACACACACACACACACACACACACACACACGAGCAAAACAGTAGTATACCAGAGCTTGTTCATCTGGGCTCAGGAAAGGCAGTTGAAGACATTTAGGGAATTCTACAAGCCAGTTATTATTATAAATCAGAATTACATATTAAAACAGATAATCTGCTCCACATCTCATCGCTTCCTAGTCATCTACCATATTTTCCTGCTCTCTGCTTGAGGTTCCACATGGCTGCTCCAGCTGCATATGGGGAAAGAGCCTTGATAACAGAGGCCATAGCACAGAGGGGCTCCCCCAACACTCCAGTGTCCTGCTGATAGCTGGAGGTAAGGCAGGTGGGAGGATTCACATCACAGAAATCAGCAAATGCTGCACACCAGGACTTCTTTCACAGAGGTAGCTGGTAAATACTGATCAGTATTCCACTAACAAAACTCTCTCAGGATTCCATGTTCCTTTCTAGATGCCCCATCTCTGTCCTCTTCACATCTAAGTTTCCTCAGAGAGAAGTCTGATATCTCATTCTCCGCTGTGTAGCCTCCCTTTCACTCCAAAACACACAGTGGCTTCTGGGCCTCTCATCCCACCCAGAGCACCCTTGATCTCAGGAGTACCATCAGACCCATGCCCTCTTACCCCACCCTCCACACTTGAGGCCCGTTGCCTTCTACAACATAGTTGCTAGCTGATGTCCCCACTGGATGCCCCACTGAGGGCTCCCCTCCACCCCTCATCACAGCCAACACTCCCCAGAGCATGTCCTCAGCCTCAGGACCACCCACACTCCCCAGTGTATTCCTTAACTCCAGTTTCCATCTTCTTGCTTGTGACCCCAAAGCTGAATATCCAACCCAGACCCATATACCTCACTGCCAATTGCACAGCCCGGATGTTACCTACAGATACTGATTAAAACTGGGTTCACCCTTCTCTCCAAGCCTCTTGTCCAATCCATACAATAAAACTGCCTTTCTCCAGTCTCCCAAAGCAGCCCTGAGTCACCCCGTGCAGCCCTGCCCCCCTCAGCTCCAGCATCCCAGTAGCAATTGGACTCTCTCCCTTCCCCCCTCCTCATGTTCATGACCTTTGACCCAACCCAACACTTCCAGGCTTCTGTGGGTGACTATTCTAACTGGTCTCCTGTTCCCAGCCTCCTCACTGATTCTCCTTACCCTACAGCTGCAGTTTGATTGTGTTACTTTCCCTGCTTAAATCTTCAGGGCCTCCCCACCACTGTATATACAAAGCCTGACTCCCTGAGCTTGGCATGCATGGCTTTCTCATCTACCCAACCTCTGGCCACTCAAGACTACTTCAGATGTTTCCCAAATGCCACTGCACCCACATTTGTCCCTTTACCTGTAATGAGCTTCCTGAGTCTACCTGCACCTGCTCAGCCTCTACCTACCGTTGCTAACCCATCACCTTTCCAGGTCTAGCCCTGGATCACCCTCCAGGGAGGCCTGACTCCACCTATGAGAGTAGGCTGGGTATTCCCCTGCTGTATGTACTTTGGGCCCCTCACTCACCATTACACCACTCACTACCTTTCAAGGTCATCCATTTCTGTGTGTTTTATCTAGTGGTCCTCGTCAAGGTCATCCATTTCTGTGTGTTTTATTTAGCGGTCCTCCTCATTGGGTCATCAGCTCCTTGAAGGCAGGAATGGCCTAGGCTCACCCTAGTCTCCCCAGTCCTTAGCCCTAGCCCAGTATACAGCAGATAGGTATACCATCACCACAGGAAAGGGTAGGATGGGACTGGAGGGAGGGCTGATGGGCTCAAGGATGGCATGCCATGTGAGCAAGGGCAGGATCTACACAGAGGCTGGACAGACAGAAAAGATCCACTGACAGTCAAAAGGAGGCCTATAAGACCAGTTTAAAACAACTCCAGGAGGCTGGAGTGACTCAGGCCTAGGTTCCTCTCTGTGGACCTATGCCACAGTGATAATGAGGGCAGAAAGTAGGTGGCTGGATGCCTCAAGTACCACTGCCCTTGGCTGTAGCTTGCCATGTACAAGGACCCTTTCTTTGCTTCACAGATATGACACTATCACCAACCAATGGGAGGCAGTGGCCCCTCTGCCCAAGGCAGTGCACTCAGCAGCTGCCACTGTGTGTGGTGGCAAGATCTACGTGTTTGGAGGGGTGAATGAAGCAGGCCGAGCTGCAGGTGTCCTTCAGTCCTATGTGCCACAGACCAACGCGTGGAGCTTCATTGAGTCCCCAATGATCGGTGAGGACCTGGTATCTCACAGTCTAGGCCAGTATAGCAGCCTCACCCCCCACCATGTATCTGAATCCAAGGCAGTTTGTTCATTGATTCTGGAGACCAGGTCTAGGGGTAACCAGTAGGTAGCCCAAAGTCCAGGTGCAACAGGGATCCTAGTACCTAGAGAAGGGCAAGAAAGTCAAGGTTTGGGCTGTCTCACAGCCTGTCCTCAGGGCAATCAGTGACACACTGGGGTGTAGAGTGCTGCTGGGAAAGAAAGGAGAGGGAAACCAACATCACATGCCTTGACCACCTGTTCTGCAATCCTCAGACAACAAGTATGCACCTGCTGTCACCCTCAATGGCTTTGTGTTCATCCTGGGAGGAGCTTATGCCAGAGCCACCACCATCTATGACCCAGAAAAAGGCAACATCAAGGCGGGCCCAAACATGAATCACTCTCGCCAGTTCTGCAGGTGAGGGGGTAATTTGGTTAGGGTTGTGAGGGAGTTGTGGGGGGTGGACACAACCGGAGAAGTCTTATCACAAGGACTTAGCACCTTTCCATAGCCATTTCAAACTCAAAACAGCAGCCCTCCCTGCCTAGCACTCACAGAACAAAATGTCAAGACCAGAGTAGAACCTGGAGCCTCTAGAACATCTGTGGCTCCAGATGACCCCATCTCACACTGGAAGAGTCATCAAAGCCATCCTCCCCTCAGTGAGAATCGAAGACAGCTTTCTCCCAGGATGCCTACCAGGAGCACACAGCGACAGCCAGCCTCTAGGGTTCCATGTCTGACCCCCATGATATACCAGCAAAGGCACAGGGCACATCTGCTCTGGAGTCTCAGAGGCTGACTGATGGGGCAGAAGCACAGAGGGACCTGATCCTGCAGGGAGAGGAGTGGAGGTAGCTTGGTTCCCAGCACCCTGACCCCAGAGCAGTGAGATACCAACACCTGCTCTTTCAGCCTCCCCCTTTACTGGACTAAGATGAACAAAGAATAAGAAAGGGTCCCAACTACCCCTCTATCAACATTTCCTAGGAACTCCTTCCTGAAGACACCTTGTGTGTATGCAGAGGCAATTACTGAATTTTCAGTGTATGTATCACATTTATTGAGTACCAATTGTTTGTATAACGTGGCTACAAAAGAGATATCTCTTACTCTTAGCATGATATAACTTAGATAAGTAATTTCTCTGGCCTGAGAAAGTTCTAGCTGCTCTGGTAATTAGACTAGAGAACTGCTAAGCTCCTCTGGAGTTCTGAGCCTTCAGGTTTTGAACTAACCTTTTGTGCCACATCAATTAATGGTCTAACCATACTGTCACTGACAGTGACAACTGGAGTATTGACTTCCACTCTGAGGAAGACATGTCTGCTTCATATGAGAACTACACGTGAAAGGAATGGCTGAGGGTCAGGAGGATATGGCAGCTGGGCTTTACAGGGAGAAGGTTGACCATAAAGAGAGAGACCCAAGGGTCCAAGACTAGCCAGAAGGCAGGATGGAAGTCTCCAGTGTCTACTGAGAAATCCAGACTGACATGCTCTGTTCAAGGATTTTCAGCAATGGGTGGAGCCGTAGAAAAACTCTGTGTGACCCTTTTCAAGGGATAGCCAAGAAAACATGAGCATTTGAAGTCAGCTGTAGAAACATAGATCTGGTCAGAGGGGGGAGGTGACAGACAGTTGAAATACATAAAGAAGAAAGTACATAAAGTATCCTGTGATACTGGGCTCTGTTGGAAAAGCTGACTGGGGTGACAGGACCCAGTCAGTGAGTGTCACGCAGGGAATAGGTCCAGGCATAGCAATTGGTCACCCTGCAGAGCATGCCTGTCCTCCAGTCACAGGTTACATATGCTGAAGAGACACAGGAGGAAAGTAGGACTCTTAGTTTTCCTGGGCAGGGGCAGAACTCACAGTCAGGGGCTGATATTCGGTTAGATCTGGCCCTTATAGTTCAGTCTCCTGGCATATTTGAGTCATGCTCCCAACTTGATTTAAATGTTCAGAAGGCTCTCTAATAGTAATACAGATAGTAGGAAAAGAGGCTTAATAAAGGCTCAGAGATGGGCCAGGCACCTTTGTAAAAGGTGGTTCCTCTGCAGCTGTCATTAGTCCCTCAGCAGAGATGATAGAGGAGGCCTGCCCAGGTCAGAGAGCAAAGAACAAGGTCCCACACAACCTGTGCAAGAGGGTTATAGACCAGCACAGTGTGGGGAATCTATCTCCAGGTCCAAGCTGGACGGTTAAGGCATGACTGTCTGTCTCACCTTCCCTCTCACAGTGCAGTGGTGCTGGATGGTAAGATTTACGCAACTGGAGGCATCGTGAGCAGCGAGGGGCCGGCTCTGGGCAACATGGAAGCCTACGAGCCCACAACCAACATGTGGACCCTCCTACCCCACATGCCCTGCCCTGTGTTTAGACACGGCTGCGTCGTGATAAAGAAATACATTCAAAGCGGCTGACATCAACAGAAAGCCCAGGACAAGTCTGTGGACAAGTCTGGTGAGGCAAATGCCACACACCATGGTAATCTTTCAGCAACACCAATGAGAGGCCCACAAAACACAATCAAGAAACTCACTACGCTAAACATTTCGAATATTCTCTACATTGAATGTAGAAAATCATCCTCGCCTTTTGGGTGAATTCGGGGCACAGCGCTCCTGGCAGCAGGAACCTGAAAAACATGGAGCCAGGGCTCGCTGGCCAGCGGAGGCGTTTGCTCTGAACAGGGGGCACTCACTCTGCCCGGTGCAATAGTTTCACATATTTTTCATCGGGGAGAGAAGCTGTTTTTTTCTTCTTGCAGAGCAAGCTTGATCCCTAAACCACCATAGATCAGTTATCCTATGACAATATTAGGCATCAGGCTCTTTTGGAGTAAGGTCAAAGTGTCCTTATCACTTTGAGTCCTACTTTTGTTTTTTTTTTTAACCAATCTACACTTTGAAGTGGCCAAGAGAAAAAGAGGGACAGGACTGTGCAGCACCAAGGCCTAGGAGGCTGCTGGTCCCCACAGGGACAGAAGAGCTGTCTGGCCACGTGCGCAGAGCCAGGGCTGGCAGCCGCAGGGACTGCTGGGGAGAGCCATCTGTCCTTCACGGGTTTTTCTACAGAAGGACATGGAGGCCATGCTAGCTTTCTCTTAGCCAGTATGAATTATTTAGATTTCCGAGGCATTTTCTTGATACACAAAAGGCTATTTTTAAGTATTGAGAGGAGGAGACCACAAGAGGGAGAACGTTGTAGGAATTCCCAAAGCTCTTTGTAGGTAGTGCCGGAGCGGGGGCACTTGCTCTCACTTTTTCTATTGCAGAATAGAGGATCTCTCCTGGGGTGGGCAATGCCCCCACTTTATTTTTGAAAAAAGTAACTCCCAGACATCCCCAGAAGACTGTGCCTCATGGAGGCATTGTCAAAGGGAAGGATCTATTCTAGAAGGACGTAGAAGGACATAGATTCTGACATCAGTCCAGCTCCCTCCATGAGGTAAAGCTGAGGACCTAGGCCCAGGGAAGGGACCGAGGGAGGGAGGGAGGGAGAAGAGATGTCTACAAAGCACAGGAGACTATTTTTGATATTAATAGCTATATATTCAAGGCACCTGCCACAAGAGCTCTCAGGATGGGGACAGCCTTCTTAGATGAGCCATGACAGCCACGGCCTGAGGAGCACGAGCAGAATCACTCTTCTTATCAAATATTAACCTGAGAAAAGGGAAGCCAGGAGGGAGGTCACAGTGAAGCTCAAAAGAGAAAGGCCTTCCTGCTAGTCCTTACCCTCCAACCTCACCCGGTCATCAGTTTCCATTCCAGGACAGGAAGAAGGCCACCGCCACCACACTGTTTAGTTGAAGTTAGTACCAAATACACACTTGCCATTTTTCTACCTGGGAAGTCAGCTCGCCATTACTTCACAATAAGAACCATTGACAAAGAGAAAGAGGACATGCTTTCCATCATTCAGTATTCGATGACAAAATCCCAGTCCTAACGTTGGGCATCAACTTCTGGCACTACAAGTGTGGCTCACACTTGGACAAGACACTGAGCTTCGTTATGCAGTTTTTACTATTATTTATTATTTTAAAAAAAGTAATAAGCACAAAACTACATACATTGTATGTCATTTAAAGTATTTATGTCAAACAGGGTGCAAGTGTGAACCCAAGGACTGGAGCACAAATTTCTAACTGCCTGGGGCAGGGCGAATATGAGCATTGGTGTGCGTCTGCCTCCAAGGGAGGCACTAGTGGTCGACAAACTCCATGCGGATGACACTGAAATTCCGTTTCTCTCCTCATCTATCACACTGGAGCAAAACTGGCTGTTTCTGTGAATGATATAAAACAGGGTTCTCTGTAATGGTATTGTACATAGTATATGTTTATTGTTAAGTTCTTGTTATATTATAATAAATATATTTATAGATCTAGACTCGGAAGCCAATTCGATGTCTTTGTTGCCATTCTCGTTGCCACAGGGACACCACACCTCTGCGCAGGTATCTTCATCCTCTCAAACATCAAGAGTCTGGGTTCTCTTACAGTCTTCCATGCAGGGTTTGATAATGACAGAGGACCTGTAGGCAAGGGAATGTAGACAATTGAAACTCCAGTAAAGGACGACTGAAGGTCAAAGCTGAAAGGGACTTGCAGACCCTCTGAAATTGACTGAGGATGTCCCCTTAGCCTACTGCTCTTAGTGCAGTTGTGCATCCGAAAGTGTCACAGCTTCCCACTCACTTCGCTCCTGGGCCTGAGACACTTTTTCATTCTCTCAACTCACTAACCTGATAGGAGACACAATAGAGTTCCTCCAAGAAGAAAACAAAGCACGATTTCCACCCTGAGATGTGCCGAGGGGTTCTCTAGCCTGTCACACACATCCACTTTGGTATGCTGACATCTAGGCAATGTTCCCAGGGAAAATGTGGAATGCCATCTGGGATTGCTCACCCTCTGCCAGGAAGGAAGTTTAGGTTTAGTAGATGGGTAAGAGGTTGATTTACCCACCTGGTTATCCACATGAAGCCTCTCATATCCTGATCCCCAAATCTTACCAAGACCTAGTGTCTTCTTAAAAGCAAAAGCCAAAAAATAAATAAATAAATAAAAGCAAAAGCCTAAATAAGGTGGGAGAAGGAGGTGAGAGCAGAAGTCCTCCTGAAGACTTGGTTGAAAGCCATAGGATGAATGGACCATACACCTGCCAAATGACTATTTGCAACAATGTCCTCAGGAACATCTGTCCTACAAGGAAGGACGGAGAATGCCTAGAAGATGCGAATCGTTAAGAGCTAAAGTTATAACCTGTGATGAAAAGCAAGCAATCCTTTTGTTAACTACCCTCTTGTTTATTCCATTTCTCTAAATCATGGAAAATGTTGTCTCAGTTCATAAAGAATCTGTTTTACACCAAACTCTGGGCAGTAAACAGATTCCATTTCACCATAAAAGACATGTAGGTCCCCTAGATTAGGAGACCCACAACCAGTGGAACTGTCGAGGCACAGCCATTCAGTCTGACAAAGATGGTGAAAAAATTCCTGTAACAGCCACAAACAGAAGATGGTTCATATTGTGCACATAATTTTTTAAAAAGTTCATAGTCAAAATAAGAGGACAATCAAGGGGCTAGAGAGAGGACTCAATGGTCAAGAGCACTGGCTGCTCTTGCAGATGACCCGGGTTTGGTTCCCATATGGCAGCTAACAACTGTCCATAACTCCAGTTCTAGGGGATCCAACACCTTCTGACCTCCACAGGCATTGTGAAACATGGGTGCACTTACATACATGCAGGCAATATACTCACACGTGTAAAATTTAAAAAAAAAATTAAAGAGAAAAATCAAGAAAACATTTGCAGTTCATATTTTAAGCAATATTTTTAATAAAAGTCCAGATAATAGGAAAATAGAAACACAAAAGCCACACTGTGGCTTATCAAATGATGAGGGAATACCTTGTACTTACTAAGTTAGCTCCCTAAACCTAGAAGGGGCAGCTGTGCTAAGGAGCACGAGACTTGGGCAAGAGCTCTGCAGACAGGCAACAAGGTGGCAGGGACCATGTACCAGGAATCTGAGGCACACTCAGTAAATCACTTTTAGACAGTCACAAAGAAATAACCCAAACTTGGGGCTAGAGAGATGGCTCAGCAGTTAAGAGCATTTGGCTGCTCTTGCAGAGGACTAGGGTTGGGTTTCCTAGCACCTACATGGCCCCTAACAACTGTCTTTAACTCCAATTCCAGGGGATCCAATGCCATCTTCTGGTCTGTGGTGGCATTGCACACATGCAGTGTGCTTACATTCAGACAAAACACTCACACATAAAATAAATAAATAAATCATTTTTAAAAAAAAATAACACGGCCAGGTATGGTGCTGCACGCCTTTAATCCCTGCACTTGGGAGGCAGAGGCAGGTGGATCTCTGTGAGTTCAAGGCCAGCCTGGTCTACATAGTGAGTTCCAGGACAGCTGGAGCTACAGGGAGACCCTGTGTCAAAAAGACCAAAAAAAAAAAAAAAAAAAAAAAAAAAAAAAGAAATAACACAAGCCAGGAAAATAACGCAACTATTGTAATAGTACAAGGATAAAAACTAGCCAGGTGTGGTGGCACTTTCTTCCCAACACTCCAGAGGCAGAGGCAGGGAAATCTGTGAGATCGAGGAAAGACTGGTCTACAAAAGAACTTCCAGGCCGGCTGGGTCTACAGGGAGACCCTGTTCTAAAGCAGTGCTTCTTTATTGACACTAATGATGTACTGACCACCATGCTAAGCGCATAAAACACTGGATCCTCATGATTCATTGATGGGGACCAAAGGCAAGAAAATACAAAATTCATGTTTGTACACAATTTTAGCTTCAGATATGCACCTAAAGATGCAGGAGATATCTATGTGTGTATATGAACGTACGTAGAATTCCTTTCCCAAGGCTTCTTGGAGATGCTTAGCTCTTACAACTCCAAGACCAGGGCTCCTTTCTTCTCCCCAGACGACCTCAGAAACCCTTATACATGTATAAAATGACAAGGTCACAAAACCACCATGGAGTGGTAAGCATATAATCCTCTCTAGAATTTCTATAAGATAATTGCATTACTTCTATAATAAAAAATAGACATGCTACACCTATGTTTTTGTTTTTGTTTTCTGCAATGCTAAGGATCACATCCAGGGTTGTGTCTTAAGCAACCACTCTGCCACTGTACATATGTCTTTTTAATGAAAGACACAAAGTAATCTCTTCCTCTGTGTTTCATTCTAACATTATTTTTGTGAAGGCCACCATAAGCAATAGAGAAATTAGAAATTATTTAAAATAAAGTATCCAAGAGTAGAGTATCAGGATTCTCGTGAAAGCCTTTCTTCTTCACCTTCCTCCTCCTCCTCCTCCCCTCCTCCTACCCCTCTTTCTTCTCTTCTTTTTCTGTTACTGGGAACTGAACAGCCCTCAAACATGCTAAGCAAGTACTCTACCACTGAGCTACATCCCTAACCCTCTTTTTAATTTTTTTTGACACAGGGTCTTATTAAGTTGCCAGGCTTGCTTTGAACTCACAATCCTCCTGCCTCAGCTTCCCAAATAGCTGGGATTCTAGGCCCATACCACCAGACCTGGTCACCAGACTTGCTAACATGGCCTGACTTCACACAGCATCTCACTTTTGCTCTCAATTACTTAAGTGGGACAGGACAGGCTCTTCACACTTTAGAAAGTGAGGAAAACAGCAAATAAGCAACCCAAGGAAACATCTCAGAGGGGTTAAGTGATCTGCCCAGTCACAGTAGGCCACACCCCAAGTACTCTGCATACTCTGAATTTAATTCTGACACAATCCTGCACAGAATGGCGCAAGACAGGTGAGCCCACAAGACTCTGAGGCTTCAACAATCAGTCTTTGACCCGTATATGTCCAACGTTGGTTCAGTAACTAGCCACACGACTCCCTAAGGCTGCCTGGAGTTGCTTGACTCCTTCCTTCTCCCCAAGCAACTGGAAATCTTTTATAAGAAAACGGGCTAAGCCGGGCGTGGGGGCGCACGTCTTTAGTTCCAGCACTCGGGCAGATCTCTGTGAGTTCAAGGCCAGCCTGGTCTACATAGTGAGTTCCAGGACAGCTGGGACTACAGGAAGACCCTGTCTCAAAAAGACCAACAAGAAAAAAAAAAAAAAGAAGAAAACAGGGACTGATATGAATCACAGGCATTCAGCTCTCTTTTAGAAACAGTCCTCTTTAGAAGCAGTTTTTCAAACGCTTGGTAAGAGTTTCAGCAACACAGAATTCTTTAGAAAGAGTGAGCTGAAATAAGATGTTACCTCATTTAAAACTCTTCCTGTGAGCATGTGCTTTGTAGTGAACTCTTGAGACATTCCAAACAGTTCTGCTGCCACAGCCACAACCTGTGGGTAGAGGAAGGGAGAGGACACGATCTGCACAGACTGTTCTATCCTTAGCTAAAGGGAAGGTCATGACCTTGGCACCCAAGAATGTTATCAGCTAACAGGTTTTCCACCCGAGTTGACAGATGACTAAATTGACAGCCTGACTCTAAAGAATCTGCTTTTTCCACAGTGACACAAAGGCTTAAAATTTGTTGTTGGGCTTGGTACAAAGAGAAAAACCATGGATTTCTTTATCAATAGTGAGAATAATAAAACAGCTAACCTTAAAAATGTGTTTGTGGGGCTGGAGAGATGGCTCGGAGGTTAAGAGCACTGACTGCTCTTGCAGAGGACCCCGGTTCTATTCCCAGCACCTACATGGCGGCTATGAACTGTCCTTAACTCCAGTTCCAAAGGAATCCAAAGCCCTCTTCTGACTTCTGTGGCATTGCACGATACAGGTGCACTCACATACTTGCAGGCAATACATTCATACACATAAAATAAAAATAATAAATAAAATATTTTTTTTAAAAGTATATCAAGCTTTTTTAAAAAAAAGGTATACATTCCTTCTCAAACTTATAACCTATACATTTGGCAGGTCTTTGGGGTATCTTTCCTCCTAGAAGGCAAGGCAGCCTTGCAAAACATCACACTAGGTCAGTAAGACTGAGGTCTCTATAGGCAGGGACATACCCTCTGTCCCCTTGCAGGGATTTCAGGCTGTGCATGGTGACATCCAGATTATCTGAGCCTTGTTGGAAGCATAAAAAGTGTTTCGAGTTATGAAACAATCCAAGCAAGGCTATAGCATGTTGTGCAGGTGAAGTCCTGAGGTTGATGTTAGGAGTCTTCAATCGCTCTCCACCTATTCAATGAGGCAAGGTCTCTCAGTTGAACCCAGAGCTCCTTGATGTAGCTCGTCTAACCAGCTGTCTTGCTCAAGGGATTCCCATCTCTTCTTTGGAGCATAGGAATTACAGGTGGGCCACCACATCCACTAGGCATTTTTGTGGGTTCTAGGAAACCAAACTTA